GAACTGCATCCTGTCAGCAATACCGGAGTCCACGGTGGTCCCACCAGACAGCACCGTGTTAGCGTAGAAGTCCTTCCAGATATCAGCATCACACTTCATGATGGAGTTGAAGGTGGTCTTCTCAATGCACAGACTATACTTTCTTTTAAAGGACCTATTAAACATCTACAAAAATGACCTTTATTATATATACAAAACTGAGATAAATTTTAAAAATAGGCACAACTTAATAATACTAGAACTCAGAAACCAGAAAACCTGTTGCTCTTTTAATCAACTCTTGGGTAAAAATAGAAATTCAGAATATTTGGTAGCAGTAATGATAAAAACACTACTCATTTGTATTGTGCCAAAACAGCACTCAGATGAACATTCAGATGAAATATATACATATATGCATATATGTATATGTAATATATACATATATGAAGTTAAACACTTAAGCATTAGAAAAAGAACAGAACAAAGGCAAGCAGAAAGCAGAAATTAATGATAAATGCAAAAATTGTGTTAGCAAAACTATAGAATTGAAAATCAATTCAAAAGTACCTTATCTGTTTAATTTTTTTTTTTTACAGAAAGTCAGCTAGTCCAATCAAAAAAACAAAGCACAAATTACAGCATCATAATTAACAACATAATAATCAACAGTCACAGAAATGGAGGAAAATGAAAAGGATATATTTCTGTTAATATGGAAAATAAAATATAAAAACTTGGGTAAAATGGTTATCATTCTAGGAAAATATAATTTACCAACTATATATATGTATGTGTGTATATAAAGATTAAAATCAAGAGCTAAACTGCAAAACAGGATGAGACTCAGATCCTCTCATAAGAAAAATTCTAACACAGTCTTAAAGAGCAGATAATTCCCATGGTATTTTACACTATACCAAAGCATAGGAAATTAAGGAAATCATCCAGATTCTTTTTTTATGTAGCAGCGAAACATTAATTTAACATTAAAGTCTGACAATGATTTAACCAAAAAAAAAAAAAAAAAAAAAAAAAAAAAAAAAAAAAAAAAAAAAAAAAAAAAAAGAGTAGAGACCAATTGAACTTAATATCAATGAAAAGTCCCAAATAAAAGTTAATAAACAGAACCTAACAACACAATAAAAGAATTAACATTACCAGAGAGGATTTATTCTAGGAATTCAAGGTCTTCCCTGAATTCAACATTACACAATCTATGTAATACACTATATTAATTGATCTAAGGAGAAAAAGGGTATGATCATCTCCATGGATGCTGAAATCTAACATTATTGTGATTAAAATAAATTTATCTAACTAGGTAAATGTGTTTTTTTTTTTTTTAAACACAATAAGTCTATTTGATGTCAGTTCCAAATCTGGCCTGTTGCTTAATAGGAACAGTGGTATTCCCATTAAAGTCTAGAACAGATAGAGATGGAAAACCATTGTTCTACATAGTGCTAAGTTTTACACTGAATTACTGAATAGGTAAGAGAAAGAAAATAAAGGCATAAACATTAGAAAGGAGGTGGTAAAGCTATTGTTACGTGAATTTGAATCCTTCCTGTATTTTAGGTACTGGTGAAAAAAGATATGAAATTTTCCTTTGTTTGCAGAGCTTACATTCTGATGACATGTTATTATATGACTATACACTTGGAAAATTAAGGAATCAAGTGAAAACTTACCACAAACAATACCAGAAAAGATAATATCCCTAGGAATAAATGTAACAAGGATGTGCAAGGTGTGTGAGGAAAATTTTCCAACACTGTTGAAGGACACAAAAGACAAATTGAGTAAAGATGTCAATTCACCCTACATTAACTTCTTGAACATTCAGAGTAGGAAAGGCTTTTGTTATTAATGACCCCAAATTCAGAAGTTAAAGCAGGAAAAAATGGTAAGTTCAGATATGTTTTTTTAAAACTTCAAGAAAACAAACAAGCAGAAAACCCCATAAGCAAATTCTACAACACAAAGATACACTGGTACAAAGTACAACCTGTGGTACAGACACAGGTTAATACATGAAGAAACTCTACAAATCAGTAAAGAAAATACCTACAAATCAAGAAAAACTGGGCAATAGGTATGAAAAGACTGTTCATAAAAAGGAAGTGTTAATGGTTTTTAAAACGTGAAAAGGTGCTTCTTTCATAAAAAGAGGAAATCAAATTAAAAATATACTGAGACAGGGGCACAGGGGTTGCTGAGTCAGTTAAGCAATCTGACACTTGATTTTGGCTCAGATCATGGTCTCATGGTCGTGAAATTGAGCTCCATGTCAGTCTCCGCGCTAGGCGTGGAGGCTGCTTAAGATTCTCTCTCTCCCTGTCCCTCTGCCCCTCCTGCTCTCAACAGATACACTGAGACTATATGTATATATATCAGACTGAAAAAATTGAGAAATCTGATAACATACTCTATTGGCAAGGCATTGGGAAATGGGCACTTTTGCTTATGAGAGTATAAATTGGTAAAATCATTAGCAAGGGTGATTTTTTAATATATAAATAAATTGCAAATGCATAGTTCTTTGATCTCCAGGGTTCACTTCCAGGAATTTATCTCTGTACGTATGCCTGTATAAAATGACCTGTCATAAGATTATTTATTACAGCGTTGTTTATAGTTAGTGGAAGTCTGGAAACTACTTAAACATCCATTAACAGGAGAGTGGATAAGTAAATTATAGTATATCCTGACAAAAGAAAGAGGGCATTCTTTTTTTTTTTTTAATGTTTATTTATTTTTGAGAGAGAAAGACAGAGCATGAACGGGGGAGGGGCAGAGAGAGAGGGAGACACAGAATCTGAAGCAGGCTCCAGGCTCCGAGCTGTCAGCACAGAGCTAGATGTGGGGCTGACACCCACGAACTGCGAGATCATGACCTGAGCCAAAGTTGGACGCTTAACTGACTGAGCCACCCAGGTGCCCCAGGAAGGCATTCTTTATATTTTAATACGGAGATATTCCAAGATACATTGTAAAGTGAAAAACGCAAAGTTCAGAATGATACATGTAGTATGCAAACATTTGTGTGACACAGGTCATATATGAATACATATTCAATTTATTTATATTTGCACAAAATAACTCTGGAGAAGAAGCTGATTTAATAACTGGTTAGCTGGTAGGGAAGAGGGAGAGTCATAGGAATAAAATGGGAAGGTGAATTAGTTTGTGAACCATGTGAATGTTATACCTATTTAATAAGCTTAGAAAACAAATTAAAGTTAAAAATTAATTCTTCTAGAAAATGGTGTAGCCAAGGTATAGAGTAAGATGTAAATTTTCTGTCTTCCCTGTTTTTTTAAATTAAGACAGACATGAAAGGAGAGTGTAGATGGTGTCATGACTAATAAAGTCACGTGAAAGTACACACCTCCTGAAAGTTGGCAAATGACTTTCACAAACACAAACTCAGCACATTTTATAACCTCAGTCATGATACTGAGGCCACTTACTGTGTTTCCTGTGTATCTGTCATCTAAAATTGCTCGAGATGTTTTGATAAGGTGTCATCTGTGCATCCTACCCTTATAATTTGAAGCTGGTCAGCCTGCCTTCCCCTCCCCTGCTTTTGGTTATTTTCTCTGCTCATTAACAGCTCCTTAGCAGTAAAGATAGAATAAATAAAGGAAGAGAACACAGCTTAGTTTTGTTGTGTGGCAGGGCACATTCACATAACTGTTGGCAGGATGCTCTTTAAGATATTGAGGAGAGGGTAGGGATAGGAAATGGGAGAAACGCATTTACTGACTTAGACATATTTTTTACATTCGGTCATCACCACAGTCCCATTTAGGTGGATAAATAGCCCTGACAAGTGAGGGAACCGAGGCTCAGATTTCATTACAGTGAGGAATTGAACCAGTCTGTTGCCTCCTAATGTTAGAGAAATGAATGAGAGAGAGAATAGTATCATCATATGATGAGCATAAGTTGGGTCTCTTCCCCATTCACCATGTTTGTGTCTTCAAGGAATGCAGAGTTGTTGTAAATTTTGATGGGGATCTGATCAAAAGGAATGAACAAGAAGAGGGGTAGAAGAGGGATTTGAGAAAAACAGAGCAGAGAGAGACAAGGAAGAAAAAGAACACCTGTTTTGTAGTAGAATTGGTACCTTAGGCTAAAGTGAGCTATGAGATTATTTCGTGCTTTTGTCTGTCCTACATTACCCTCATGTGTGATAATTGGGTATAGCATTTTTTTTTTCCTGAGAAAGTGAGACATGTGAATGATGCCTCTTAACTCCTTTCCTTGAAGGCTGATGGAGCTGACTCAGCCAGTTGGCTCTTTCATCTCATCTCCGTTGCTGATAAGGAATGTAAGCATTAGAGGAGCGTCTGGGTGGCTCAGTTGGTTAAGTGGCTGACTCTTGGTTTCGGCTCAGGTCACAATCTCGCAGTTTGTGAGTTTGAGCCCTGCATCAGGCTCTGTGCTGTTAGTGCAGGGATTTTCTCTGTCTCTCTCTCTCTCTGCCCCTCCCCTGCTCGTGTTCTCTGTCTCTCTCCGCATAAATAAACTTGAAAAAAAAAAGTGCAAGCATTAGAGCAAGATTCACGTTTTTCACTGTTGTTTCGTAATGAGTAACTTTTCTTCTGAGTGATAATTTTTTTAAACATATTTTTTTAGCGTTTATTCATTTTTGAGAGACAGAGACAGAGCGCGAGCGGGGGAGGGGCAGAGAGAAAGGGAGACACAGAATCCTAACCAAGCTCCAGGCTCTGAGCCATCAGCACACAGCCAGATGCGGGGCTCGAACTCAACTCATGAACTGCGAGATCATGACCTGAGCTGAAGTCAGATGCCCAACCAACTGAGCCACCCAGGCGCCCCCAGAGTGATTACTTATATTCATGCTACTAATGGAAGGACTATGTCCTCAGTGGTAAATACAGAAATCTCAGTAGCAGGTAGTAAATAGAGGTTAAAAAAATCAACTTAGACAAGGGCAGATGTGTTTGTGGTGAAGATGAAAATGATTTTGCTGGTGCCTTATTTCATAGCATCCTGATGAAAAGAGATTGGAAGGCCTCTCCAAACAGCTGGACTGGGATGTTCGCAGCATTCAACGCTGGTTTCGACAGAGGTGCAACCAGGAGAAGCCAAGCACGCTGACGAGGTTCTGTGAGAGCATGTAAGTTGCTGTTACTCTTCTTGAAAGCAAAACCTGCCTAAGTACCCCTCCTGTCCCTAACTTAAAAATAAAGGCTTCGTGCAGGCTCCAGCAGCCCCTGTAAAGCATGCCACCTGGTGGAAAAAATAGTCCTCAAAAACTGGGGGAATAGTAGTTTGTAAGAATTTGTGATTAACGCTTTGGATTCAGTAACTGAAGTTCACTTTCTAATGTAGTTCCTACAAGGTATTGGCAGATGGTATTTTCAGGGGCCTGCGATGGTATTTTCATTTAGCCACCTTTGAAATAGAGCACTAAAAGTTATTACTTTAATGGTTTGAATTTTAATAGAGGAGACTTTGTCAAGATGTTCTTTCCACGGGTAACAGCTGAGATGCTAAGATGTATAATCAGAGAGTCGTGATTATGTCCCATATTCCTGGAGATTTAGCAAATAACTATATTATATTCCTTGGGTGAATTTAATGAAGCATTGCTTGAAGGTGGGGGGTGGAATGAAGGTCTCTTCCATTTCTGAAATGCGAACTTTATGGTGTGTAAATTATCAATAAAGCTGTTAAGAATAATAAAAGACCTATAGAGAACTAGCACAGTGCCGTTTTGAAATAGTGACACTCAATGCACTGACCTAGAGGAAAGTTAGAGAAGGAAATACTGAAGCATTGAGCACATTTCCAACAAAGGGAAGGGACTGTGCCTCGAGCTCGTTGGGTACATTTGGTCTTCATCCTTTGGGATGTGACTGTGCCTTTGTCTAACAGCTCTGTGCTTTGGGAGCTTTTTTTCCTGACACCTGGTCATTTGAACAATAGTGCTGTCATTGTTCCCTTTGTTGCAGGCTCCTTCTGTTTGGGGTTAAAGTTGCATTTTCAGGTTTAGCTTTCAATTATGCTGAAAAAGTATTTTAGCAATTACAATCTAAAACTCAGAGGGAAGCCTGATGTTCTGGGAGAAGTGAGTGAGGGGAAGAATAATAACCATAAATTCCTAGGGCTGGATAAATATGGGGAGCATAAACAGGGTCTTCAGGAGGTCAGAATATTTATAAAACATGGAAAAACAACCGAGTAGATACAATCTGCAAAGCCCTTCCTATAATTGAACTGAGTGGCAATTTATAGAAGAAGGATTTATGCATCTGGGCTCCTGATCAAAAGCTGGAATTGCTTCCTGGCCTGGCCCCACCACGTACATGAAGGACCTGTGTTCCTTCTTTGGGCTGTGGGTCTGAGTAGTGGTGAGGCTGAGTCTTGGCATCGGGACCACATGCTGAAACTCACGTGCCATCTTCCCCTCCTCCAGCTAACTTCTTTGGTAACTCGACACTTGTCCTTTCTCTACTATACTGACTCTACACCAGTTTCCATACCAGTATGTATAGGAATCAGTCATTGAATGTTGTTCAAGTACAGATTATCATTGAGTCGGTCTGATGGCAACCGAGGGTACATTTTTAACAAGTTTCCAGGTGATGCCACTGGTCCATGGACCACATTTTGAAGAGCAAAGCTCAACACTATACCAGTATCTATGTCTTCTCCCTGAATTCAGCTGGCCTTTATCTGCAGTTAGAATCAGCTAAAAATATTTTTAAATGATTGATAAAGGCATGACAATGTGAAGGCGCAACTGGGGGGAGAGATGGTACCTAAATTTATCAATTATGATCTTTTTCCTCAAGTGGTTTATTTTAATAGTTAGTGTCAAGGAGATATAACAAATATCTGAGTATATGCACATCAGGGATATTAAACAATGAGCAGATAGACGTGTGCACGAAACAATTGGCATGGACCATCAGTAAGTAAAGATTAGAGGAGAAAGATCAGCTGTGGGCTAGGGCACGTGGCAGGGCTATTGGGTTAGAACTGAGACGGTACTGGTGGCCTTTGACTTCTCTGTTGCAGAGGACTGTGCTGATGAACTTTGTTCTGAAACTCTCTTCTTCCTTAACCTCTGGATTGCCACTAGATTCTCTGGTCTTTCCAAGAGCAACTGTTTGTATGACGTATTCTGCATTTTTCCATTTTCTTGAGTGGGCTTCTCCAGAGTCAGTCTTCAACCTCTTATTTTCCCCGCTCTACCTTCCATCCTCTGTGCAGAAGTAATTTTCTCTTGCCATCCTCTTCCAAAGTCATGTGTCCAATGACAAGGCATCGTTCTGCTGTCTCCCAGCTGGCAACTCTGACTTGCTTCCATTGCTGACTTCCCTTCACCTGTTGTTTGCATGCCTCCATTGCGTTATAGGCTAGAAGCTCAAACCAGTCATTTGCTGGGTTCCGTTAGTTCTTCATAAAGCCGCTGCTGTGGCCCAGATCTTAATTGCTCTCATAGCTATCCTTATTATTTATGTCACACTCATAGATATTTTGCTACAAAAAAATTCCTAACATGCTACTATTTCCATGTTCTCCTGCCTTTAAACCCTGATTTTTTTTTTTGCAACTGTTGGATAAATTATTAGGCTCCTTAGCCTGTTAGCTAGACTCTGATTTTCATGTGTTTGGTATCAGTCACCCAAATGACCCCTTCCTTCCAGAAGGTTGTCTTTTCACTGTCCATACTTTGTTCAATTGCTGCCATGGTTTATACTGTGCTCCTGGCATGGACACCTATGTTCCTCTGCCCTGCCCATCTATCCCCTACCCATTCTTCAAATCCGAGGCCCTCTCAGAAATGTGGCATGACTGTTGAGTGTCTGGAATGAGCATGACTTTTTTGGAATTTTAGAGTCCTCACTATAAGTGCTAGTAATTTAATATTGAATCACATGCTTTCTTATGTGGTGATTTAACTTAACTTGTCCGTATATTTTTACCCTCAGTATATAATACTTGCTCCTTGAGGGCACGAGAACCACATCTTGTTTTTCTTGCATTCTTAGTCTTTATCACCACATATATACTGCTGAATAAATATTGGTTAAATGACTGTAAGTTAAAGTGGCATTTTTTTGGAAGGATTTACTGATCTAAGTTGGCACGCTGCCTCCCCAAATGGAAAGTGCCTTTTATACACTGACTTAGCCTAAAATTTGTCTAGGAAAATTATCAAACTATGGAAAGCTCCAAGACTGTATCTCAAAGAGATTAGAGGAAGGAATGGGCTGGCAAAGGGGAACATTTAGCTAATGCGAGGCAAATAAAGCAGAATTATATTGGTCACTGTATGCACGAATGTATGCTATAGTTATTGCTCATCAATATAAAAAATGATCTGGAATAATTGTTCCTAACCAAGGGTGCACTGCGTAATCACCTGATGAGCTTTTGTAAATACACATACCCAGCCCCCACCCCAGGATGTCTGAATCAGTGTGGCATCCTAGGTGAGGTCTGGACATGGATATCTTGAAAGAAATGCCCTGAGTACTTACGGCACATATCCGTGGTTAAGAAGCACTAATCTCTGAAAAGAGATGACTGCTGTTCCAAAATACTAAAAATCAAATTAGCAAGCAAGCCAACACAGGTTTGGGACCTGAAGGTTTAGCGCCGAAATGTAAAGTTTCTATAGTTTTTCTGTTCTATCTAAATTACTATTTTAGAAAATACAGAGTCCTTTCGCGGGAATTGTGTTTCATCTTGCAGCGGTGGGGAATGGCAGCAGTATGCATGCCAAACCACGCTGGTAACCATCTGCTGGCATGTCCGACTTCTGGCATACCCGTTTCATGCAGATGAGCTGAGTAGAAGTTGTTCAACAAGTAATGTGTTGAAACATTGACATGAATTTCTTTCCTTCATGCTTGATGTCAGTCATTCGCAGCTGTGATAGTTTTGATGAATATTTCTTCCCGAAGGGTTTAAATCTTTATTGGCGACTGAAATAGAGATTTTCAAGAGGAAGTAAAGAATTTATAAAAATGAGATATCCTGTGATACATTTTCGGAGGAACTCTTGCTAAATGGGAGTCATTTAGCTGGGGGATCGTGCTTTGCAGCGACTGAAGTTTTACCTCTCCCCTCCCACAGTTGCATCAGGATAATAAGAAAGTAAAGAATATTGGCAATAAAAAAAATATCTGCAGGATGAAACAGGAAGAGGCAGAGATGTGTTTTCAGAATAAATGGCTTCCCTCTCGTTTGTGCACTATCAGTGTTCATCATTTTTAAATATTGTGCAGTATATTTAATAGCACATGCCTGGGAATAAATATTATATATGGCTTTCATTTAAGCAGTCTCCAAATGACTTCATACTGATAGGTAGATCTCCCATATGATAATATGAAGATGTAGGGCAAGGAATACTACATTTCACAGATTAGTTCTGATTTATGTGGATTGAGGTTTGCTCAGGTGGAACCTTGTTGTAAGTTGAGGACCCACGATTGTCTTTTCTTTAGGGATTTCATTTTAGAGTTGAGGTTGATTAAAACTACCCCCAGATGCTACCATACTTGGATGCAAGCAGGCCAAAATCTGGGAACATTTTGAAGCTGTGACTTTATTTCTGCAAAGAAAGCTCTATGATCTTAATTTGTGATTTCATTGAACTAAGGATAAGTCAGCAATGAGAAAGGAGTGGTTTACAAAATCACCCTCCTGCTACCACTCGGTCACAGATTTTGCTATCTTTTTACTTGAACAAGTTCGCAATGCTGTCTTGTGACCGCAATAAGAAAGTGGAACCTAATAATTGAGGGAAAAAAGAGAACAGGGCAACACAGGGAACAAGCTGAGTCAGATATCCCTTTATTTCAGATCAGTCTTTGATCTGAGGAAATGTGAACATATTCATCAAGTTGTCATAACACAGTCACCTATTTACAAAAAAACCACAACCAAGTATTTGTAAACTGCTTTAGAATCTTCCATAAATTGCACACTGTGGTGAAGAACAAAATTTTGCCTAAGAGAAAATTCCGTTTTGATTATTTTCACAAACAGATCATGACTTGAGCATTATTTACTACCAAAGTTCTCCTGAAGACTGATGTGGTGCTTTGTTTGTTTTAATGCAGTTTTTTTAAAATTTAAATTCAAGTTAGTTAACAT